TGACGTGGCATAAAAAAAGCTAACACTGCCCTGGGGAAAGTGTCATCACTAAAGCATGTGTAATGGGATTCAGTAGCCTTGAAGATGCTAAGCTGGGAAGGAAAATCTGGCTAATTGCCCAGGACATCGGACAGCAAAGAGCTGCTATTTCGTAACTGGTGATAGAAAGGCCCAAAACTTGGCACAGGCATGTTTTGTATCTTAGACCCTGTTTCTCTGTCCTGTAAAGTTTTATGTATCTTAACTTTACAGTTTTTTTGGTTCTTTTATGAGTGCTATTTAGTCTTCTGTTATTGTAACTTTACATTAAAAGACCTGTTATAGCCGGACATGGTGGCTCACGCCTGTAATCCCAGCACTTTGGGAGGCTGAGGCGAGTGGATCACAAGGTCAAGAGATCGAGACCATCCTGGTCAACATGGTGAAACCCTGTCTCTACTAAAAACACAAAAAATTAGCTGGGCATGGTGGCACGTGCCTGTAATCCCAGCTACTCAGGAGGCTGAGGCAGGAGAATTGCCTGAACCCAGGAGGCGGAGGTTGCTGTGAGCCGAGATCGCACCATTGCACTCCAGCCTGAGTAACAAGAGCGAAACTCCGTCTCAAAAAAAGAAAAAAAAAAAAAGACCTGTTATATTTGCAATACAATAGTATTACCTTTACCTTTTCCCCTTTTTAACCCGAAACAATCATGGATGCTTTCTTATTCACAGCCAAAATGGAAGATCTGACAACCAGAGGGTAATCTGGCAATAAGTATCAAAAATCTTTCAAGTCTTGTCCTGTCTTTGACTTGCCAAATCGGCTTATATTGATTTAGAATAAGGAAATAATTGGGAAGCAGGCAAAGTTATATCATTTGTTTATAATTGTGAAAATTGCAAATAACCTAAGCATCCATAAGTTTGAACTGAATCAAGAAATAGGGTATGCTGATAATAATAAAATCTTTTTAGCCCTTAAAGATGATATAGGGCTGGATGCTGTGGCTCATGCCTATAATCTTAGCACTTTGGAAGGCAGAGTCAGGTTGATCGCTTGAGACCAGGAGTTTGAGACCAGCCTGGGCAACATGACAAAATCCAGTCTCTACAAAAAATGCACCCAAAAAATGGTGCACATGTGTAGTCCCAGCTACTGATATGGGAAGATCGCTTGAGCCCCGGAGATCAAGGCTGCAGTGAGTCATGATGACACTAATGCCCACAGCCTGGGCAATAGAGCAAGACCCTGTCTCAAAAAAAAAAAAAAAAAAAAAAAAATGAAGATTTTGTTGATGTGGACAAAGGGCCTCAATACATTGTTAAATGAAAAAGCCAGTTAGACCAGCCTGGCCAACTTGCTGAAACCCCATCTCTACTAAAAATTAAAAAATTAGGGGGCCATGGTGGCACATACCTGTAAATCACTTGAACTTGGGAGATGGAGGCTGCAGTTAGCTAAAATCATGCTGCTGCACTCCAGCCTGGGCAACAAAGCGAGACCCTGTCTCAAAGAAAAAAAAAAAGCCAGTTAGAAAACTAGAATTTATATTTATATTCTTATTTTTGTTAAAAAATAAATGTATGAGTTGCTTATACATAAAAAATACCCAAGGCTATGGGGCCGGGCGTGGTGGCTCAAGCCTGTAATCCCAGCACTTTGGGAGGCCGAGGAGAGTGGATCACGACGTCCGGAGATCGAGACCAGCCTGGCTAACACAGTGAAACCCCGTCTCTACTAAAAATACAAAAAAATAGACAGGCTTGGTGGTGGGCACCTGTAATCCCAACTACTCAAGAGGCTGAGGCAGGAGAATCTCTTAAACCCCAGATGCAGAGGTTGCAGTGAGTCGAGATGGCGCCACTGCACTCCAGCCTGGGCGACAGGGCAAGCCTCTGTCTCAAAAAAACAAAAAACAAACAAACAAACAAAAATACCTAAGGCTATATAGCAAAATGTTAACAGAAGTTATCTTTTAATGATAGGATTTGAATAACTTGTTTGTTTTATTTTTTTCTGACCTTGTTGCAATAAGAACTTTTGAAAAAAAAAAAACTTAGAAAATGAGAATAAAGACAATGATAGTATGTGGGTAGACAGGCTGCAAAATTTTACACTGGCCTACATTTGGCAGTGAGAGCATTCATTCATTCATTTATTCATTCATTGAACAGATATTTATTAGGAATCAGAGATAAGTCATAGACCTTGCCTTCAGGGATCTCAATTCAAAACTGTTAGATTCCCACAATACTTTTCGTAATCATATTTACTAGGCATTCAAATTATTATTTAGTACTTAGAGTAATGTAATTTTCTTTTACATGTGCCTTTGTGTGTTTTATTCATTTAACTCGTTGGAATTTCTCAAAAGTAGGGAGGATAGCTCCTATCTCTAATACTCCACACATGTCCTGGTACATTGTTATGCACAAACATACATACTTCTTGGACACTACTGATTTACTGTGGTAAAGAAGCAGAATAAGGACAGTGTGTGTGAGAACAGGTGAACAAAGCAGAAGGTAACATCGGGCCTTTATGCTGCTGTGTGCTCTGACTGAAGAGAACTTCAGAATCTGTCTTCCCCTTGGTTCTAGGTTTTATTCCCCCTGCAAGTGGATGGGCATATGTCAATGGATATGAAAACTCAGAAGACATATTTCACATTAGGAAGAGCCTGGGCTGGTGCCCCCAACATGATATCTTATTTGATAACTTAACAGTAGCAGAACATCTTTCTTTCTATGGTCAGGTGAGTTGACGGATAACAGGGATTTGTTTCCTCTGTATCCACTCTTCTGAATGATGAGATAGACCATAGCTCTCTGACTCAACCTGGAAAGGTCTTTAAAATGAAAACTTGTGTTTCTCTGTTCTCAACACTTCTGACACCAAATGTATGTGGAGTTTTCCCACACCAACCAATTCTCCAACTCTCAAGATAGCAACTAGGTGTCCTGTAATTCCATTCTTTTTTTTTTTTTTTTTTTTGTATTTGTAGTAGAGATGGGGTTTCACCATCTTAGGCAGGATGGTCTCGATCTCCAGACCTTGTGATTCACCTTCCTCAGCCTCCCAAAATGCGGGGTTTATAGGCATGAGCCTCCGTACCCGGCCCTACAATTCAATTCCTATGCTGACTACCTAAAGTTAATGCGGACTCCATAGGTTTAGGGCTCAGTCTCATAAGATTGTCCCCAACCCCAGACTTCAGATGTCAGTTGCAAGTCCCAAGTTTTTACCTGCACTTCTGACCAACTGGCTATCATTCGGGGGTTCCTACAACCCTTTCCTTAGGTTTGATAATTTGTTGCAAGGGTTCACAGAACGCTTTATTGTAGAGGGTATTAGAAAGGATACAGATGAACAACCAGATTAAGAGGTACATAGGACAAAGTGTGTAGAAAGGGGTGCATAGCTTCCATGCCCTGTCCTAGTATGCCACCCTGGCAGTACCTTACTGTGTTCACCAACCCAGAAACTCTTCAGAGCCCATAGTTTAGATATTTTTATACAGGCTTCATCATGTTGGGATGACCAATTATTAGCACAATCTCCAACCCCTCTCCCATTCCCTGAAGACTGGGGGAGGAGGCTGAAATTTCTAAGTTTTTTTTTTTTTTTTCTTTTTTGAGAAGGAATCTTGCTCTGTTGCCCAGGCTGGAGTGCAGTGGCATGATCTTGGCTCACTGCAGCCTCCACCTCCCAGGTTCAAGTGATTCTTCTGACAGCCTCCTGAGTAGCTGGGATTACAGGTGCCCACCACCATGCCCAGCTAATTTTTTTTTTTTTGCATTTTTAGTAGAGACAGGGTTTTGCCATGTTGGCCAGGCAGATCTTGAACTCCTGACCTCAAGAGATCCACCTGTCTCGGCCCCACGAATTGCTGGGATTACAGGCATGAGCCACAACACCTGGCCTGAAATTTCCAAGTTTCTAAGCATGGCTTGATCTTCCTGGTGACCAGCTCACATCCTGAAGCTATCTAGGAGCCCACCAAAAGTCGCATTCCTAGAACAAAAAGATGCTCCTATCACTCAGGAAATTCCAAGGGATTTGGGAGCTCTGTATAAGGAACCAAATCAATTATCAAAACAAAAATCAAATATTAGAACAAAAGATGTTTCTAGCAGCTCTGTCACTCAGGAAATTACAAGCGCTTTAGGAGCTCAGTGCCAAGAACCAGGGCAGAGACCAACTATGTATTTCTTATTATGTCACAGTCTTGAAACCTCTTCTGGACAGTATTCCTTAAACATTCAGTAAGAATGAAGGGGTATGGCATTTAAGTCGAGATTTCTGAGTTAAAGGATTTCTAGAAACTATTATATTTGAATTTTTATTAAGACAAAATTCACATAATATGAAATTCATCATTTTACTGGTTTTACAATGTTCAATAAAGTAGCTTTTCATATAATCACAGGGTTTTCTGTTTTTAGAGTCTCACTCTGTTCCCCAGGCTGGAGTGCAATAGCATGATCTTGGCTCACTGCAGCCTCCATCTTCTGGGTTCAAGCAATTCTTGTGACTCCGCCTCCTGAGTAGCTGGGATTACATGCTCCTGTCACCACACCCAACTAATTTTTTTTTTTTAGATGGGATCTTGCTCTGTCACCTAGGCTGGAGAATAGTGGCATAATCTCTGCTCACAAAGATACTCCTATTACTTCAGAAATTCTAATCATTTAGAGGTTTCTTCCCAGGAACCAGGGACAAAGGCCAGGCAAGTTAACACGGGTTTTTCTTATGTTCAGCCTCCCTTGCATTCCTGTGATAAATCCCTCTTGGTTGTAATGAATAACCCTTTAACATGCTGCTGTATTTACTTTTTAGCATCACATGTTTATTTACATGATTCAAATGCAAAAGTCTTTGTCCATCCCTTTCCCTGAAGGTCATGAGTTTCTTATGTATGTTTTATGTATATGTATACACACAAGCAAAATGTTCACTGGCCAGGGTCAGCCTCCCATCAAGAGCCCTGCATCTCCCTGCTTCACCTGTCATTGCAGCTGAAGGGCCTGTCGCGCCAGAAATGCCCTGAAGAAGTCAAGGAGATGCTGCGAATCATTGGCCTGGAGGACAAGCAGAACTCACCGAGCCGCTTCCTGAGCGGGGGCATGAGGCACAAGCTCTTCATCGGCATCGCGCTCATTGCAGGCTCAAGGTGCGGTAGTGGGACCGGAGGCAGTGGGCTCCCCTCTTGCTCGGCCTAGGCTGGCCCTTCCACCATGGCTGCGGCACCTTGGCCCTTGATGCCCCAGACAAGGCCATCACCGTTTTTAGAGGACTCGAGTTGGCTCTGTGAACCTCTTGATGGGGCCTCCCACAAGGCCAGCCTGGGCATGAGGGGGTGTGGCTCTATCAGTGTCCTGAGGCTGTGCCTCTCCTACCAGGTGCTGATACTGGACGAGCCCACTTCAGGCATGGACGTCATCTCCAGGAGGGCCATCTGGGACCTTCTTCAGCAGCAGAAACGTGACCGCACCATCGTGCTGACCACCCACTTCATGGACGAGGCTGACCTGCTGGGAGATCGCATCGCCATCATGGCCAAGGGGGAGCTGCAGTGCTGCGGGTCCCTGTTGTTCCTCAAGCAGAAATACGGTGAGCGGGGCCAGGCTGCCACAGGGTCAGTGTCCTGGCTGCTGTGCCAGGGGAATGACTGCTGCCTTCATGAACGGCCCTGAGATCAGGCAGGGGTGGCCTTCTCTAGACCTCCTGTCTGTTGCCTCTGGGTGGAGAGCCCAGCTGGGCAGGGGGGCTTGTGAGAGGGAAGAGACATGAGATATCTCTTGGACTCAGAAGTCCATGTTTAAGTTACAATCGCCAATTGACTGCCTTGTCATCTATGTGGCCATGTCAGTTTCTCCTTTCTTAGTCTTTGTTTTCTGATCTGTAAAATGAAGTTTAAGATACCACGTTCCTCAAAGAGTGAGACACTGTGTGTGTGAAAGCATCCTACAAGTTTGAGTTTCATCTCTTCAGCTGACTACAGCCCTCATCTGCACTGCTCTGCACTTGGCCCCTACTGTCCTTCTGCACCCCTGCTCTCCTGGCTCCTTCACGTCTCTGCTGTTGCTTTGCACCGTTCCTTCCTCTGACCATCTTCACTTTTCTTTCTCTGCTCCCTGACTTAGTGATCTCATCCAATCCCCTGTCTTTAAATATTCATACCTTCTCTGTGTGGAAAATCATGTGTGTCTCCAGCTTGGACCTCTCTCCTGAACCCTAGGTCTGTACATCTGACTGCCTCTACCACATGTAGGTGTAGGTGTTGAATGGATCTCAGACTTGTGAGAAGCCTGTCAGCACTGAGCTCCAACAATCTCCACCTGCTTCTCTTGCAGCTTTTGTCTTCTTAGTAAAAGCAACGTTGTTCTTCTAGGTGCTTAACTGAAACCTTGCAGGCTCCCTGACACCTCTTTTGCTCAAACCTCATATTTGATACATCTACAGACTTTTTTGGTCTTATCTACAAAATATATCCAGGTTCCGTCCCTGTCCCTACCTCTGACCACTCTCTTGCACTGCTTTCTGGTGTAGGCCCCCATCTCCTCCCACCTGGATTACTGGAGATGCCTGCTAACCCATCTCCCCACCTCTCATTCTGCACTCAACCCAGGTGTTAAAATGAGCATGTTACAGCACATGTTACTCTGCTGTTTGGAACCTCCAGTGACTTCCCTGTTCCCTCAGAGGAAAAGCCAAAGTTCTTGGAGTGGCCTCTAGAGCCTCATGTGGCCTGACCCTGTTACTCCAACCTCATTTCCTAACACTCTTCCACCTCCTTGCTCTGCTCCTGCTGCCCAGGGCCCTGTGCTGATCTAGCACTCCAGGCACTCTCATTCCTCCAGGCCAGGTGTAGCTGTGCCTTCTGAGATGTCCCATTCTCAATGAGACCTTTCTTTGTCACCCTGTTTGAAATCACATCCCCAACCCTCCTGTCCCCTCCTATGTTTATTTTTCTTCTTAGAATATGTCACTAATACTCTATCCATTTTACTTATTTATCTTGTTTTTTTGTTTGTCTCCCATCCCGTTAGTGAAAGCCCCATGAGAATAGAGCTTTTTGACTGTTTTGTCCAATTCTATATCCTCAGTACCTAGGACAGTGCCTGTCATATCCTAGGGGCTCTGGAAATGTTTATTGAATGAGTACAGCAACGAACAATAATGACAAGTGTTACTAACTTTGGAAAGAATTTAGAATGCCATAGGTATGTGCCTTTGAAAACCTGGTTTAATTATTCTACGGGTATCTTTGTTCTTTGCTTTAACATTTAAGGCCTCTGCCTACTGAGTTTTCATTTCCCAAAAATGGTTATGACTTAAGGGGAGTGTCACCCTTAAAGCAGCCCTCTTTCCTCGTGCCTACCCTTGCTACATTTGCCGTGATCACCTACCAGTTATTGAATGGAAGGGAAGACTGTCAAGAACAGCACTACAGAGTTTCTTAGTTCACTGTGGTTTAAATTTGGCCTCACAGGGCTCTCCCACTTCTCTTTCTGATGGAGCTGTCCCAGTCTAAGCCACAGAAAACTAAATGTGGCTGAAGAAAAGTATAAAAAGTGAAATTGTTTCATGATCTTTCAAATGGTGTTTCAGGTGCAGGATACTATATGACTTTACTGAAAAAACCTCATTGTGATACCGAGAACATCTCTCGTCTGATTTATCATCACATACCAAATGCAATTTTGGCATCCAGCATTGGAGAGGAATTGACATTCATACTTCCTAAAGAGAGTGTGCAGAGGTATGGCCCTGGGTGCTGCAGGGGAGCTGCTCATGCCTGCGCTGAGTGCTGAGTCTTCCCCTCCACACGGGAGCAAGGGCATTCCGTGCTGCAGGGGCTTAAACCTTGGGCCTTTGGCACTATCTGAAAAGACATCCTAGCTAGGGGGCAGGTTCAAATACAGTATTCAGATCACATCCTCCCTCCTTCAGCCCTTGAGAATTCTCAATTGCCTTCAGGTTAATGTCAAATTTCGTAATATGGCTTAATGGGGACACTTGATTTTGTTACCTCTAATTACCTATACCCAACTTACTAAGCTCAGGTTAAGATTTGACTTGATGTAGGTGGATTACTTGAGCTCAGAAGTTCAAGACCAGCCTGGGTTGAAACCCTGTCTTTGCAAAAAACACAAATATTAGGCAGGCGTGGTGGTATGTGTTTGTAGTCCCGACTACTCAGGAGGCTAAGGTGGGAGGATAGCTTGAGCCTGGGAGGCAGAGGTTGCAGTTAGCCAAGATCATGCCTGGGTGGCAAAAGTGAGACCCTGTCCCAGAGAAAAAAGAACAAAAGATTTGACTTGATTTTCCTTTAAATTATTTCTGACTTCAACTAGGTTCCCAACACTTCCTTCTTTCCTCCTCACTCCCTATGTCACTGTCAAACCAGAATGTTACCTTATACTTCACTGAGAAAATAAAAACCATCAGACCATTCCTATTACGAACCTATAAACCTGGCGGCTTTTACACTTGTTTTCTTTTTCTTTCTTCCATCTTGTTACAGATCAGAGTTTGTTTCTCTTTCTGTCAAGTCCTGTCCTTTAGCACCAGTTCAAGACCCCATCGACCCCATCTCCTTAACGACTCCCGTGTTTGATTATCCTCTCTCACCTCCATCATCATTTTTTCCCTTTCCTGGATCAGTTTTCATAACATACTCGCATACTCTGATGAAACTACTTCCTGGGCCCGCCTCCCTTTCCAGCTGCCTCTCCCTGTCTCTGCCACCTTTCACAGCCAAGTTTCATAGTAAGTGATCTACGCGTGCTGCCTCCCCTGCATTGTCATTCTACTTCCAAGTGTCTTCAGCCCAAACCCTTCCAACCAAACTGCTCTTTCAAGGTCATCATCAGCCATCATCATCAAGTAAGATATCACTTAAGATATTAGGGACTTTCTATTTCTTTAAAAAAAAAAAAAGTTATTGTCCAGGCGCTCTGGCTTACACCTGTAATCCCAGCATTTTGGGAGGCTGAGGCTGTGACATGGTAAAAGCCCCATAAAGCTGCATACCTCAACCATACCTCAGCTTTCTATTGAAACTGCTCTCTGTAACCCCTAATGTGACAGGCAAGCAGTCCAAACTGATGCTATCTTGGCCCCTGCAACTTGTAATAAGTAATTAAGGTCCATAATTTCCACCCTACCCAGACAATATGTAAACTAACGCTTATCTTGACTTCTGTGAACCACTTAAGTAACAATCGAAATGTCTAAAGTCCCCTGGCCCTCGGAATGTCTGGAGCCCCTCACCCTCATCTCTGCCCAGGAAGTGATTTACAGAATCCACTGGCCCTTGGAATGTCCAGAGCCCCTCACCCCCACCCCTGCCCCTCATCCTCACCCTCACCCCTGAGGTGATTTACGGGTATAAAAGGTCTTGACACCCTCCTTTCGGGGCCGTGGGCTGGAGAGACTCGAGTCCTCCGTGGCCGTCGGCAATAAAGACCTTGCAATTTAGCACACTTTTGTCTTGGTATTGACTTTCTATGCTCACTCCAGTACGACAGGCAAGTGGATCACCTGAGGGCAAGAGTTCAAGACCAGCCTAGACAATGTACGGAAACCTTGTCTCTGCTAAAAATACAAAAATTAGCCGGGCATGGTGGTGGGCGCCTGCAATCCCAGCTACTTAGGAGGCTGAGGCAGGAGAATCACTTGAACCCAGAGGCGGAGGTTGCAGTCTGACAAGGCACTCCGGACTGGGCTTCAGAGAGAGATTTTGTCTCAAAGAATAATAATATAAAAAATAAAATAAAAGTTACTGGATAATATTTTATTCCTGTAAATAAATATGTTCCATACATGTAATTATGAAGTATAAATAACAGAATGAGCACCAGTGAGCCCTCTATGCAACCTAAGAACTAAGACATAGCAATAACTTTTTACCCTAACCATACTTGACGCCACAACATCAGTTACATAGTTAACCATTTCTTTCTTCTTGAAACACTATTCTCTCTTGGCTTCCTTGGCAAAATTTACTCCTCGGTGGTTTTATTCCTACCTATCTGGACACTCCCAAGTGGCACTGGGAAAGAATGGGAGACAACAGTTTTGGGAAGGGTGGTTATGAAAAGGTCAGTCAAGAATTCTTTACATTTGAAAGGACTGTAAGCCACCCCGGTAGAGATAGCAAGAAGAGGAGTTGTATATGAATGAAGCTGGGCATTGAGGAGAGGTTCAGCCTGGAAATGCATGAGAGTCATCCGCTTGTGGAAGTATTTAAAGTCATGGGAAGGGATCCAGTCATGTAGGAAGAGAATGTAGAGAAAGAAGCAAGAGAGCATACAACCAGTTCCTGAAGCACCCCTAAAATTCAAGGTTCCACAGAGAGGGGCCCTGCAAAGAAGCCTGGAGAAAAGAAGCTTCATAAAAATGAATGGAGAATACGCACAAATACGATAAATCGGAATTGAGAATTGGGGGAAAAAAACCCATGAATACAAAATAATTAGAAGACAATATTTTGTACAGTTTTAAACTAATATATTGGAAAACTTCAATAAAATCTTAGATTATCTAGAAAAATAATTTTATTAAAATTGACTCAATAAGTACCAAAAAGTTTTTATAAACCTGATCACTTTTATCAAATATTGAAAGAAAAGATCATTTTTATTTTATTAATATTCTTCCAGAGAACAGAGAACATTAAAAAAAAATACAGGCTTGGAGGAGTAGTGGCTCATGCCTGTAATCCCAGCACTTTGTGGGGCTGAAGCAGGAGGATCCCTTGAGCCCTGGAGTTTGAGACCAGCCTGGGCAACATAGGGAGACCTTGTCTCTACAGGACAAAAAGAAAGAAAGAGCCAGGCTTGGTGGTGCACAAATGCAGTCCCAGCTACTGGGGAAGCTAAGGCAGGAAGAATGCTTGAGCCTGTGAAGTCAAGGTTGCAGTGAGCCATGATCATGCCACAGTTCTCCAGCCCGGGCAAAAGAGTGAGCCCCTATCTTAAAAGCAAACAAACAAAACTTCCCTGCTCCTTTTTACTAATACAGATTAATAACCTAGCAGTTCATTGAAAGACTACTATACCATATTGAAAGGATTATTTGATATTATCATTAATCAACATAATTTTCCATATGTCAAAAAGAAATCACCATGTATTCATCCACATAAATGAGAAAAACATGTTTTCTATGATAATTTACTTAGGAATGCAAATAAGAGCATGGCCATCCAGGAGAGGCCTGAGTCCTTAACACCACCTCCCTTCAGAGAGGGCAGTGCACTGGCCATGCCCCAAGTCTGGTGCAGCCAGAGCAGCTTTCCCTGTGAGGCCTGCCAGGTAAAACCTTGTAATTACCTACAGTCAGGCCTGAAAAATCATACATGGGTTTTTAACCAGGAGCCAGACTCCTTAACACACACACAAAAACTCAACATAAATTTAAAAACAAAAGTCCACTGTCCACTTCTTCTTCCAGTCATGATGGAGTAACTGATCAAGAACATACCCTTCCACTAAAACTGGACAGAAATATATGAAGCCATTTTAGATATTAAGCATTAGGAAGTCTAGGACCATGACTGATTGTTGAGAGAAGAGAAACACCAAGGAGAGACCTATATTTGCCCCAGCTCTTTGGCTTGGGCACTTTCTAGAACACGGCCCAAAAAAGTAAAAACAAATCACAATGTAGCAGTGAATTTGCTTAGCTGAGAAGGCAGAGATGAAATGTCAGAGCTACTGAAATGTCTGGACTTTGTGGGACTACGACGGCAGAGGGGAAAGCTGGTAGAGGAGGGATGGCCCCTGGGGAGTTCACTTAAATCTGTGGCTAAGGGCTGGGCAGTACAGCAGACTAAGAGTTCATAGCAGAGAGCTATGTATAGCACAGAGCAGCTACTGTGAACCTGAGCTGTTGACTCAGCTGGGCTGTTGCCTCTGCCTCTTAAATAGTAGGAATACTTCCTTTTTCATGAAAGATGGCTGATATTTGTAGCTGAGCAGCTTCATTTGCTTGCTTCCTTCTTGTAGGAGGTTCACTAGAGGCCACTTTTCAGTTTGAACTCTCTCTGTCCTCTTTTGTGTGAGCTGATACAATTTATAAACAATTATTATTACTATTTTTGAGATGAGGTCCTGTTATGTTTCCCCGGCTGGAGTGCAATGGTGCAGTCATAGTGCATCACAACCTGGAACTCCTGGGCTCAAGCTATCCTCCTGCCTCAGCCTCCTGAGTAGCTGGGACTGCAGGTATGCACTATCATACCTGGCTTATTTTTAATCGTTTGAGGAACTGACATGCTGTTTTTGTTAGAGGCTGCGTCATTTTCCATCCCCACCAACAGTGCACAAGGCTCCAACTTCACATCCTCTCCAGTACTTGTTATTTTATGGGTTTGTTTTTTTAATAGTAGCTATTCTAATAGATATGAGAAGGTATCTCATTGTGGTTATTTTTTTTTTTATCTTATCGTACTTAAGTTCTGGGGTACATGTGCAGATCTTGCAGGATTGTTTCATAGGTATACACGTGCCATGGTGGTTTGCTGTCTCCATCCCCCCATCACCTACATCAGGCATTTCTCCCAATGTTATCCCTCCCCAACTTCCCCACCCCCTGCTGTCCCTCCCCTAGCCCCCTAGCCCCCAACAGACCCCAGTGTGTGACATTCCCCTCCCTGTGCCCATGTGTTC